GTGAAGAAGACGGCCCAAAACCAGCCCGTCGGCACCGCGCGAAGGCGAAGGCGAGCGAGCCCGTCGGCTGGGCGAGGTTCCGCAGCGCGGCGGGCGGCGGCCAGCAGCGCGGCCCGCGGGGCTGGCGGCGGGCCGAAGGCCTCCCGCAGGCGCAGCGGCAGCAGGAACTGGTGGAAGCAGCAGGCGACGTCGCTTTGCGGGATGAACCCAGAGGTCCTCGGGATCCACTTTCTGGATCCGGAGGTAAAGTGGATCCAAGAGCTATGCTGGATCCAGAAAAGTGGATCCAGCCCAAAGTGGATCCAATATCTACGCTGGATCCAGAAAAGTGGACCCACCTCAATGTTTCATGATTTTAATGTTTTTTACGGTCCGATCAGATGGGTTGTCGTCGTCCAGCGGGTTGTATCATTGGTTCGGTCGCCTCCTCTTCATAATACATAGTTATATGTTGTTACCCCAATATATTTACATCGTTACCTGTTGTATTTTTCTGTCGCACCCCCTCCTCTCCCTCCTGCTCCTGCCACCTGCAACCGCTTCGCCGCCCCCCTCTATCCCTCGTCGCTTCCGCTTTCTCATCCTCGTTCGCGCTTTTTCTCCTGCCTGTGTCTACTTCGCCCCGCCTTGCCCTATCCTCGCCCATCCGCCCCCTGGTCGCGCCGCCGCCCCGCGCCTCGACCGCCCTTCCCCCGTCCGAATTCGCCTTGCTATCGCCCTCCCCCCGCCGTTTGGCCGAGGGCGGCCGAGCGCCGCCCGCGCGCGCCCCGCGCGCCCCGCGCGGGGGCGCCATCGGGCTTCGAGGAGGCAGAGGAGGCCGAGGAGGCCGAGGAAGCGGAGGAGAGGAGGGCGAGGAGGCCGAGGAGGTCGAGAAGGCCGAGGAGGCCGAGGAGGCCGAGAAGGCCGAGGAGGCCGAAAAGGCCGAGAAGGCACATGACACGAGGAGGCCAAGCTCGGCCACCAGTGAGGCTGCCGAGTACGGCCAACGCGTTGTTCGAGAAGGCGTTCAAGCGCTATATCCCGACCAGCGAGACGGTGTGCCCCGATGCGGACACGAGGGAGGCGAACCGATTTTATCGGGAGGGTGGTGGGATGGGGAACGGAGGGGATGGGATCGGGGTCGATTGGAGGGTGGATTGCTGGTGGAGGATGCGCGGAGGGACGAGGGGGGCTTTGGAGGAGGTGGCTGTGGAGACGCCCTCCCCCGTGACCGAAGATTCAATTGCTACGCAATTTCTACGCGCATGAATGGCGTAGAAATTGCGTAGAAGTTGTGTCTTCTGCTGCGCGCCCGCTGGGGCGGTGACGCCAGTGCTGACGTGGTCGAGCACGCTGGCCTGCTGAAGGCCATGGGAGATGTCATCGCGCCGCGCGACGCGCTCAACCATGGGCAGCTGCGGGCGCGCCTCCAGGCCCACGCCGCCACGAAGGAGGCGGCGTGGCAGCTGGGCGACACTGCCGAGAGCTGGGCCGACCAGACGGCGACGAAGATACCGCGGGGCTGTCGCCACCACCGCCCGACCCCATATAACATAGAATGGCGGGGGGATGGGGGGGCAGGTGAGATGGGGGCGGCGATGGGGGGGCGGCGAGGGGGTCGTATATAGGTAGAGCGAGCTACAGAGATATATAGTGATAGAGAGAGAGAGAGAGAGAGAGAGAGAGAGAGAGAGAGAGAGAGAGAGAGAGAGAAAAAAAGAGAGAGAGAGAGAAATAGATAGATAGATAGATAGATGAGAGAGAGAGGAGAGAGAGGAGAGAGAAGAGAGAGAGAGAGAGAGAGAGAGAGAAGAGGGAGAGAGAGAGAGAGAGAGAGAGAGAGAGAGAGAGAGCGAGATACACATATATAGACATAGCTATGACTAGATGAGCAGAACGGGTGAGAGGCGAGGACAGGGAGAGAGAGAGAGGGGGAGAAGGAGGGAGGGGGAACCACCATAGAAATGAGAGATCAGGGGTAGCGCGAAAGGGAAAACGATCGAGAGAGATAGAGAGATAGAGATCGATGTAGATAAGATATGCGAGAGAGAAGGCAGGAGCGAGCGAAGGAGAGAGCGAGGGAGAGAGGGATCGGCAGAGCGAGGGCGCGTGAGATAAGATACAGAGAGAGGGGGGGGGAGAAAGAGGGGGAGAGAGATAGACAGCGATAGAGAGAGGGAGCGAGACTAAGGGAGAGTGGGAGAAAGAGAGAGAAAGAGAGAGAGAGAGAGAGAGAGAGAGAGAGAGAGAGAGAGAGAGAGAGAGAGAGAGAGAGAGAGAGAAAAAAAGAGAGAGAGAGAGAAAAACAAAATGGCATAGCATCGGGCCCCCTGGTGAGGGGGCGTTGGATCAGGGCGATGCTGCGCGTGGTGGGCCGGGCTGCCATCAAAGCGAGGACGCCGTTTTGCTTTGCAGTGCCTTTGCAGCGCGGGCGAGGAGGGATTGCAGGACGAGGGATGCCAGGACGATGATCCCGCATGAGAATGAGGGATATCAAGATGAGGAGGGATGCGTGACAGCAGGGTGAGGCATAGCAGGATGAAGGATATCAGGATGAGGAGCGATAGCAGGATGCAGGACAACGTGATGCGCGCCCCTCCCCACCGCCCCCTTCCCAGGGACCGCGAGCCGCACGGCTGGCTTGTGGGCCACTTCCCAGGGGTGGCCAAGGACAGCGCCGCAGGGGCAACGGGTCGCGACGCGCGAGAGTGCAGAGCTGTCGGGCGAGGAGCAGAGTAGCGCACTTAGGAGCATTGCAGAACGGTGCGTCGTAGCCTCTGCGCAATTTATACGCGTAGAAATTGCGTAGAAGTTCAGTCGTCGGTCGACTGTGTCGGTCGGTGCCGCGTCGCCGCCACCCCCCGCCACAGCGCCCGCCGGGAGGCGAAAGCAAAGGCTGATGGCGCCCATGACGAGTGGAAGTACCACTGGGACGTCGGGGCACTGGCGGGCAGGGGTGCATGCGTAGAGCGATGTTGTCGATATCGAGCGAAGGGTGACAGTGCGTGGAGAGCGGGTGGGCACGAGGGCAAGTGTAACAACCGCGTGGGTATCGCAGTGGTGAGCACGCCGCCGCCCTCGCCATCGCGCCGCCCGCCCCGCGCCGCCCAATCGCCGTCCAACCCCGACCGTCGCTGCTGCCGCTGGGCCCGCCCTCCCCCCGCATCCCCCCCCCTCGTTGCCGCGGGGGGTGCGAGGCGGCGTGCCGCGTGAAGGGCCCGCCGAAGAAGACGACTGCTCCAGAGTACGGCGCGCCGACGAACGCCGACGATGGCGGCAAGAGCGACGAGCTCGAGTTTCAGTGGCCTGACAAGGCCACGTGGGCAGTGCCAGGCTACGCGGTGGAGGCTTACCGCGAGCAGGTCAGGGCCAAGAAGGGCGGCGCTGGCTGCGGCGACCGATGGCAGAGCAAGACCGAAGAGGGCCTGCTGTCGGCGTCAAAGTATTCGAGGGCGCCCGTGGAAGCTGGCGCTGTGAGGAGGTGGTTTTGCGCCGTGTGGATCAAGCGTGAGAACCAGGATAGAAAGTCAATCGTCGGTGAGCAGGGCATCGCGATGAAAAGGCCTGCGTCGGCGCGGAAAAGGCCCGCTGCCGCGACGACCGAGGATGCGGCTGAGGACGAGGATCAGGGCGGGCGCGAGGCTGCTGCGGAGGCAGAGAAGAAGGACGCTGAGGAGGAAGACGAGGATGAGGACGAGGAAGATAAGGAGGACGGTGGCACAGCCTCATCCGATGATGATGACGATGACCAAGACTGCCACACATCCGTATCGAGTGATATCGAAGAGCCAGAGGCCGCGGCGCCGAAAGATATCGAGGCCCGACCGAAAGCGAAAGGGAAAGCGAAGGCGGCGCAGAAAGCGAGTGCGAAGCCGTCGGCGAAAGGCAAAGCGAAAGCGAAGCCTGATAAGCCTGAGAAGCCTGAGAAGCTTGACAGGCAGCCTGCGAAGCATGTGAGGCCAGAACAACCGTCGAGTACGCCGCCGAGCGGTGATGGGGGCAACGCGGAGAAGGCGGGCAAGGCTGCAGGAGAGGAGAAAAAGGATAAGAAGGAGAAGAACTATAAGAAGGTGAAGGAGAATAAGAATGAGAAAAATAATAAGAAGGAGAAGGGGCCGAAAGCTGCGGAGCCGAGCAAGGTTTCGAAACCGAATAAGGGTTCGCATAGGGCCGCCAGCTCCAGCCCAGAGATGGGCAGGCGCGAGAGGAAGGCGGCGTCGAGCAGCGATGCCAGTTCGGACGGGCTCGACATGGGCAACGGGCTCGGGTAGCTCGAGAGGGAGCCTGGGGCGAGCCCGAGGATGAGCGGCCAGGGGCGAGGGGGGCGGAAGGCCAGAGGCGAGGAGAAGAGGAGGCCAGAGGCGAGGTGGAGAAGAGGCCCGAGGCGTGAGGCGAGGGCGAGCCCTCGACGTTCCATCGGGGATGCTCAGGAACGCAGGCGAGCGTAAGTAACTCGCTGCCTGCGTCGGCTGAGCAAAGAAACGTGCGTGCGTGCACCTCCCCCCGTTTTCTTTTTTTGCATGTTTGTTGCCGCGATGCGGGGTCAGAGTGAGCGCGGGGTCACGATGGGCATAATGGTCGCATGAAGAGCAGGTGTATCAGGAGGGGCGGGGTTCGAAGCAAGGGGAAATGAGGAGGGGAATGGGGGGTGAGGAGCAAACGACGGAGAGAGAGAGAGAGAGAGAGAGAGAGAGAGAGAGAGAGAGAGAGAGAGAGAGAGAGAGAGAGAGGGAGAAAAAAAGAGAGAAAGAGAGAGAGAGAGAGATATTGACTGGTAGTGCAGCTAGACGACCAGCAGGAGCAGGAACAGGAACAGCAGCAGCAGGAGTTGCAGATCGAGGATCGAGCATCAGCAGCAGGATCAGGAGCAGGAGGAGCAGGAGGCGCAGGGGGGGCAGGAGGGGCAGGGGCGAGGAGGTATAACGAGGGCTCGGAACAGATCAGGGGAGGGGGGTGCGAGGGTCGACCGCTCAGCCGACGAGGCCCAGGTGGGCCCCCAGGTGTCCGCGCGGCGGTGCCGCATGGTGAAGGCTGCTCGCCCTGCGCCGACGTTTCGTGACATCCGCGCGTGCATCCGCGTGGCGCCGATGAAGGAGGTGCCCTGCGTTGCTTCGCCCGCCCGCCGCTCGGAGGGGGTGTCCGGTAGCTGGCAGGTAGGGGGGGCAGGATGGAGGGGGGGATCGGAGGGAGGGGGGGGCAGGAGGGAGGGGAGGGGGCTCGGGGGGGTGGGGGTCGGGCAGCCGCTTGAGAGAGGGAGCGCGGAGGGAGGGGCAGGATGCGCAGCTGCTGGGGCAGGGCTCGAGGGCGTTTGGGGAGAGGCGGGGGGGGGGGGGGGGCGCGGGTCCGCCAGGTGGTGCGCGCGCCGCCGAGGCGCTGCCGCCGAGCCAAGACGTCCAGCTCTGGAAGCTCGAAAGCTAGCAGCCCCAGCTCCAGTGGGCACCGCCGCCCAGCCCCTGGGGACTCACCAGGCGCAGCATGGGTGCAGGCAGGGTTCGATCAGATGTTCGAGCAGGACGGCCTCGGGGGAGGCCCAGTCGATCTGCCCAGCGAGGCGAGGGCAAGCGAGGCAGAGGAGGCACATGAGGCAAAGGCGGCAGGGGGGGCTAAGGAGGCAGAGGTGGCAAAGAAGGCAAGGGGGGCAGAGGAGGCAGAGGAGGCAGAGGATGCAGAGGAGGCAGAGGTTGCAGAGGGGGCGATCGACGTCAGCTACGAGCGCCCAAGAGACGCAGTGGACCCAGACTCCGGTGACGAGCCCTTGGCGCAGATTGCAGGTCTTTCCCTGGCATCAACCCCCGTCCAAGCCCAGAATAACGCGCGTGCGGTCCTCTCCCGCACTCTCATCCCCTAGCGTTGTTCTCTATGCTACACCCCCCCGTGCGGCAGGCGAAAGCGCTGAGCATGGAGTCGCTGAAGGAGGAGCAGGACAGGTTACTGCGCGAGATACGGGGCTAGCACTGAGTGGTGGAGGGACGGCTCGGCTGGAATGGTATGAGAGAAAGTAAAATCTAACTGATGCGCACTTTTCCACGCAATTTCTACGCGTAGAACTGCGTAGACGTTGCGATGGTACGTCGTATGCGCGCGTAGTGTTGAGTAAGCAGGTTGCAGTGCATATGAGAGGTTGATGCTCGTGAGCAGATGGGGGCATGTTTCGCGCATTCTCATTCTTGCGTGGCCCAGGACGAGACAAGGAGCTCAGCCCTCAGCCAGCTCGAGCCCTCAGCCAACGAGTCGCCGTGTGTCCCTGAAGGGGGGCCTCCCGCGCCAGCCTCGGTAGCCTCGCCGTCGTCGGTGTCCGCGCCCATCGGGGGTCACCGCTCGATGGGCAGCGTCGCTTCTCATCGCGAGCCGATCGGGAAGGCCAGCCTGCTGTTCTCGAACCCCCATCCCGAGAGCAAGGAGGAACTCATCCAGGCCATCGACAATGAGATTGGGGCCATCAATGACGAGCTGCAGAGCCATACCAACCCAGACGAGCGCACCATGGAACATTTGAACGTGAGGCTGAGCCAAGTCTTCCAAGCAGGGCTCGTGCAGAAGTTGGCGGCGCTGAAGAAGGCCGACCCGAACTTCGACTGCAATGACATGCAGCGTTCGAACGATTCGGACGGCCTCAGTGCTAAGGACAAGCAGGAGAAGAGTTCCTACGGGGAGATGGAGAAACATAACTACATGTTCAGCACAGGGACCAAGGCAGGGAACGCCGCGTCGGGGCGTTGGAGGCGCGCCCTGGACGCGTCGGAAGAACTGAGGAAGCAGTGCGCGAAGGAGAAGGGCTGGATGCACCAGCGAAGGTTCAGGCGAGATTGGCTGATGGGCAATCACGCGGAGTGGAAGGAGTCCGTGAAGCACATCCTCGTGGAATCGAACGAGAAAGAGGACACTAATAAATGAGAGTACGTCGCGCTGATGAGGCTGGCGTGGCTGAAAGGTGGCGGTACCTCTGGCCTCCGCCTGGCGCTGAAGCACGCGTCGAACGCGATGCTGCTCGGTGGGATCTGGACCCGCTGGGACGACATGGCGGGGGCTGTGGAGTACCTGAACATCCGCCATCAGCTCATCGAGTCATTCAAGAAGCAGTGGATTAAACACAAGGAGTGGGTGTGCCCAAGCTCGGCGACCGTCGAGGAGGCAGACGCTCGCGCGGCGCGAGATGAGGGAGGCGGCGGCGACGAGGTAGGGAGGGCGCCTGCCAAGGGCGAAAAGGGCGAGCATAAGGACACGACAGACAAGAAAGACAAGTCGGACAAAAAGGATAAGAAGGATAAGCAAGAAACATACAAGAAGGAGACAACAGAAACGGAGGCCACTGAGGAGGAGGGTAGGAAGCGCAAGAAGGATGGCGAGGATGTGAGGGCCGATGGAAAGAAGGACCAAACAAGGAAACACGAGAAGGGTGGCGGTGGTCAGGATGAGGATTCGCTTGTGGTGCCCGACGTCAAAAAGTCGAAGATTTCGACGCCTGAGTGTGTGTGAGCAATTCAAGAAGCTGAAGGACAGCTATGATTGGTGCATGGCGCAGCACGCCAAGCTCGACGGGTTCCTCAAGCTCGATGCGGGATGGAAGGGCGTGGAGAGGATGCGTGAGAGCATGGGCGATGCCATGAAAGAGGCGACGCGGGGCGGGGTTATGCTGACGACGGCGCCGACGACGCTGGGGATGGGGATGACGGGGAGGACGACGCGGCGATGCGAGGAGGTATGAGAGGTGATGCAGGCACGGAGGACGAACGTGAATATGCTGGGGGGCGGGGAGGGGGGAATGCCGATCCCAGTCCTTCAGGTGACCGACAAGTGCCATGAGCACAACCTCTCGTTGCTGATGACGATCGAGGCCTCGAAATATAAGAAGCAGGTTTGGCCTCTCTGATTTGCGATTGCACCCGTCTAGCAGCTCGCGTGCGCACTATTGATGTTCATGCTATGTATCGTGCGTTGTTTGTTTTGTTGTGTATAGAGTTTCGACTGCCAGTGAGGCGACTTGCGATAGCCCGACCTTTCGACGATTCGGATGGCGACGAGGGGCGTCGATGCTGGGGTGCACGGTGCGAGTTCATCGCCGACGGTCCGACGTGAGCGTGACGCCAGGTGCGCGCCAAGGCATGCGACGCCGAGATCCAGCTGGCGAGCGGCGCGCTGACCGCGTGCGTGCAGACCCTGTCGTCCGAGATTCGTATCCTGATGAACCAGGAGATGGCGAGGGATGATGAGAGGGGGAGGCTGCAGCAGGAGGGGCAGGCAAAGAAGGACAAGGAGAGCGGCGCCAGCGCGAAGAAGAAGAAGGAAGAGGCGAAGAAGGCACAGGGGGGCAGGAAGAAGGCGGCCAAGAAGGAGTCTGACTTTGATTAGGCACCCATTGTGCTTTCGAGATTGCATGGGTATGGGGCTTCGAAATAGGGGGGGAGATGTGGGGGAGATGGGGGGGGGGGGATCGGCGTGTCAGACTGCCCCATCCCCCATTCAATCCAGAAAGCTCGCTGGCCGCGTCGGCAAGCTTACAGGTAGTGCGGCAGTTGCTTTATGGTACCCCCCCTGCTAGCATAGCGAAGGTCGAACTTGCCATCGGTTGGAAAGTAGAGCCAGTTAGAAAGTGGACCCAGCTAGACAGTACATCCAGCTAGGAGGTGGATCCAGCCAGAAAGTGAATCCAGCTTGACAGTGGATCCAACCAAAACGTGGATCCAGTGTGAACGTGGATCCAGCCCTCCCTCCCCCTTCCGACCCCTCCCTCCCCTCCTCCTCCCCCCCCTCCCCCCCCCGTCCATCCTCGCTCCTCCTCCTCCCTCCTCGTATCCAACCGCGGCGGGATCTCGACCCGCGCTCCGGCGATCGCGCGAGAGAATTCCTCCTGGGAGCCGTTCCGGGCACGGGGGACATTTATAGGCAGCGTGTCTGAGGGCGAAATTCAAACAAATAAGCGAAAAACGCAGACATATTCAGGAATTCCCAGAAATTCTGCAAGGTACTGGAGCCGGGGAGCCGGAACCCGCCGTGTAAATTGCGTATATAGTTCGTATATATTGGGACACCAATGCCACTGTATAGATGTTCAAAAACGATATATCTATACATATCTATGAAAAACTCACTTTGTGTTACACAACATGCACCGTATGGATGCCGTATATATTTCGTATATATTCCAAATAGATTTGAGGAGGTGATCCCTGAGCGCGGGCGAGGTCGGCGCGCCAGTTTCGAGGGGGGCTCTGCCCCGCGGCGAGCGCACGGAGCACGATTCCAAGGGCATGGCGAGATCTTGATCCAGATCTTCGAGCGGACCCATATCCATGGAACCAGGTTGCGCTCAGGACCCAGATTCCTGGATGCAGATCCCCGGGGTCAGATCCTCTGATCGAGGTCTGGATCCAGATCTGCGCACGGACCGCGCAGTTAGCATGAAAGCAGGGGGTGGGTGCCATGCGTGGGTCGGCGGCGCTCGGTTGCAGGCCTGGGCCAGGGGAACTGCCTTTTTGTGTGTATATACACGCCCCCGTCTTAGGCGCGCGCCTCTCCCTTACATGATCCACCGCCATTCTCGAGCGACCGTGGCATTGAGGGGGCAGGAAATTTGTAGGAGGTGTTGCGATGGGGGCAGGGGAGCTGTGCCCGCAGTTGCATGCCTACACGTCTACATCTACTCTTCTCCATCACTTTCTCCGCATGTGCTCGCCGCGCCGAGTGAAGGCGAGGGAGGCGGTAGTGGTGGCGTGAGTTCTTGGCCCGCCGACTTCTGCCATGAAGTAAGCATTCGCTCCTGGGTTTGCCATGGTGCCATGGCGCGGCGCAGTGCCGAACAAGGCATGGCGAGGCACCGCCCGCTCGTAGGCTCGAATTGCCGCGATCGCAAGACGTGGACATGCGTGGCACCTGGAGAACTGTGCGTGAGTTGTGCGCGCAGTGTCTGGGCAACATGGCATCTGATGTTGCGTGTCATGCATCGTGTGTTATATCATGCAGCATCGCAGTGCAATGTGTCGCGCGCGTAGTCGGAGTGGCCATTTCGAGTCAAGGCATCATGGCGAAGTCCAAAAGGAAGCATGTTTATGTTTTCGGCAGAGATGCGGCGCGCAAGCGCGTTGGGAGCGATGGTATTCGACATCCTCTTGGAACTCGATGGTTCGTGCAAGAAGTTATCGGCTAAAGATTTCTGCATATTGTGCTTTCACTTGAGCCGCTGTGGCGTGTGTGTGTGTGTGTGTGTGTGTGTGTGTGGGGGCAGTGGCGCGCGTTCGCGATGCCGCCGAATAAACAGACGGGTAAATATGAGCAGCGATTAGATAAACATCTGCCAGGCCCTGGACCTCTGTATTCCGCCGCGCTGCCCGCTACAGCCAGGAAGAAGGCCCGCCAGAGGTCCGGGGGCATTGTGTTCAGGCAAGTGTACCGAACCATCAGCGACGAGGTAGAGAGGTCTCCCAGCGTGCAAGCAGTTTTGGAGAAGGGTCCACGTGATGATCCTGATAGCGTGTGATCACTGCCATGCTACACAGAGCGCCCGCTCGTTTGGCCGTGTGTGCGAGACGCAGGTGCATGGCCACTACCGTTAGCTCTGTACGTGGACGGGGTTCGGTACACGCTCATTAGCGTTGGGCGGTCAGATCAGTGAGCTTCGCGATGCACGCTCGACGGGAGAATGTGCGAACGCATGGCGGGAGCAGGCGGGGGGGAGCATCGATGCATCTCGGGCGGGGTGCGGTAACTTAGTCGCTGGTGGGCTGCGTGCGGAAGCGATGAGCGACCATCTTAATTTCTACGCAAATTCTACGCGTAGAAATTGCGTGGACAAGTAATTGTTTGTGCATGGTGTACCCCCGACAGGGGGGGGGTTGTCGGACAGCCTGTTGCAAGTGAGCATTGTCAACATGGTTACGTGTAAGAGGCACATGCTAGGGCTTATGCGAACTAGTGAGTTGTGCAGCTGTGGGTGCGGTGGGTATTGTTCCATTCATGACATCATGCAGGTCGCTTGCTGGCAGCTCGAGGCGTTGTGTGACGGTCGCATTCCCCTCTTGAGGCACGGCGGCTCACACTGGCCGCCCGAGCTGTATCCAGACGACGCGGGGGCGGACCTCGGCGTTAAATGTGTAGTTCTGTATGTCAAGGGGGACTGGGCGGAGTTTTCAAAATCGTTGGGTTTGGCTGGGTGGGGGGGCAGATCTGGCAACCGTGCCCCATATGCACTGTTCAGATGGTGTCCATGCATTCGATTTTCCCTGGGTTTATAGCAGATGATGGCCTTCAGGCGCCCGACCGAAGCCACGACGACTGCGAGATAGATCACGGTAAGTGCGAGAAGGTGCTAAACATGCCCGCTGCTGAAATGCGATCTGCCGTGTGGGCCGCGCTTCAAGTGCAAGGGGGAAAAAGGCTTATCGTGACCAGGGGCGCTCATTGATTTTTAGTAGGGGATCGTTTGGAGTGGTCACGGGAACTCATGGTGCCCATGGGGTTTTATAAACAACCAGCCCCATTCAATGCAACCTTCTGGAGGGTTCGTAGATATTGTTTCAATCGAACCATCGATTCGCTGTCCCATCGGTCCCCTATATTGAATACTAGGCTGTGTACGTCACCTTCTCGATCGCTTGCCATAGACACGCTTCGCACGGCATGCCCTGGCATCATGATGCGGTTGGCCGCTACCATATTGATGAGTGTGTTGCGGTGCATTCCGAGGCAGACGAGACCCGATAATCGGGTTAAGCGATTGGAGGCCGACATGTTTGTGTTCTATGACCAAAAGGTTGTGCCACACCAGACACGAGTAAACATGTTAACTCCAAAAATGTTGTCAGCAGAAACTGGACCACACCACCATGGTGGTATTCTGAAGCTGAAGGCGTCCGAGACGTATGTGATTTTGAAGTTCGCAATGTACGGACTCGAGACTCATGCAAACTGCAACGTTTACAGACACAGTGAGTTACTGGGTGCGGCCAGGGCGCTTGTGACGTGGGTGCAGACAATGCACGGGGCGCCAGCAAAGTTCAGCCGCGACCAGTGCAATACCTTTGTGGCTGCTGCACAACGGACGTTGCTGTTCTCGGAGCGGGCGGAGGTTCGCCCCACCCCGAAGTTCCACACCTTCGGCCACGTCACTGCCAAGACACATGTCAGAGCGGTCAAACACCCACACCGCACGGAACTTATGTCAGCGCAGTTTCGTTTCAGTTTTTCTGATGGGGCACGGGGGACAAGACAGTGATGCTCACGAGGCTTCGGGGCATGACACCATAATTCTGAAACCTCGCACCCAAGACAACACGCACGCGCACGTGCGCGCTCGCACGCACGCGCGCGAACGTACACGCGCATTTCAAGCAACAAACATCAAGCACCCTCCCGCCCCCCAAGGAGCTGGCGCTTGGGGAACCCGTCCGTCTACGACACGTTTGCTGACGAGCATTTGAATTTGGCGCTTCGGACTTGCGCGGGGAGGAGCCACAGGAGCACGCTAGAAGTATCCGTATACTGTTGCTTCGGGATCGTGGGCTGAAGCGGGGTTCTCAGATATTCGCGTCCACGACGTACCCTAGATACGCCGACGGAGGAGAGGGTTCAGAGGCAGAGGCTCAGCGATAAGGCGCAGGAGACGAGTCGCCAGGAGCCCGCGGCCCCCCGCCAGCTCAGGTGTAGGTTTGAGGGCGGGGCGCGGAGCTGGGGCGGTGCGTTCTCAGGGGGCCTAGAGGGCCACCGGCCAACAGAGGGGAGGGGCGAGGGTGAGATCAGGTTGCAGGTTCGCTCCCTGGCCGCGCCGCGCCAGGAGACGCTGGCGGTGATACTGGTGACGACGGGGGCGGAGATGGAGGCGGGGGGGGGAGGCGACGGCGCGCCGCCTGCTCGCCGAGGCACGGGCGCGAAGCGGATGCGCGGGGGGTCGGCGAGCGGCAGCCGCAAGCATCGGAGGCGCGACTAGGCGCCGCGGTAGGACGGATTGTGAGATTTTGCCCGTGAGCCCCAGCGATCAAACACATACTGGCGTACGGGGGGTAGCAGGCGGAGGGGGTGGGGCTGATTGGCGTGCGCCTCCCTCTGGGGCCCCCGGCGAATCTCGAGCGCAGCTTTTTTTGGGGGGCCGGCGATGTCTGCGACGGCGGCGGTCGGTTGCGACGGCAGCGACGAGAAGGAAGGGGGATGTGGGGAAGAGAGGGGGGCTGGAAGGAAGGCGGGGTGACTGCGACGGCGGCGGCGGCGGCGGCGACGGCGACGAGCGGTGCAGCCAGGTGCAGTGCGATTGCGGACAGGGAGTCCGAGATCGATGACACCGACGGCGTAGCCTCACCGTTCAACTTGAAAATGAGGTTCAAGATGCCGCGAGGGGCTGGAATCACTGGGGCGAGACGTCT